TATTCTCCCGGGTGGGAACTAAATTCTCTTGGGTAAGAGCTTCATTTTCCCGGTTGGGAGTCGAATTCCGGCGAAGATTGTATCTATTTTCGTTGTTTCTCTTTCTTTCTTCCTAGCCATTTCGTGTTTTGAGTTCGTGGGGCAATTTTCTGGGGGAGGTTTGCGCAGGGATCGTGGTCTGTGCGAACGTGGTAGGGTTTTATTTCTTTGATTTGGGGTTTTTTCTGGGATGGAGGAATCCTCAGCAGGTATTGATAAGGCGAGGGAGGGGGATGATGGGGTCCTCCAAAAACTGGTCAAAATGTCCTTATCGGCAAAAGAAGCAGGAGAGGCCGAAATTACTGGGGATGATATCAAATCAAGCGATGAGGAGTGCAATAGAAGCTTGTTTGGAAAGGTTGTGGGTGATAGGCATGCTGGTCTCCTGGGAATTAAGAGGACGATGGGCGCTATCTGGAGAATGCAGCATTCCATGGAGGTGAAAGAGATTAGTGAAAATTTTTTCCAATTTATATTTCTCTCTCAAGAGGACAAAAAGAAGGTGTCTGCAGGCCATAATTGGATGTACGAAAACCAATACTTAATCCTAAAAGAATGGTTCCATGGGTTACATAGCAATCACATTTGCTTTGATGAGATCACGCTTTGGGTTCAGGTGTTAAATGTTCCTCTGAATTGGATGAGCACTGAGGTGGGCCAGAAAGTTGGAAGAATTTTCAATAAAGTTAAAAACGTGATTGTCTGTAAGGTTGGAGGGGATGTAGGGAGTTTTCTGAAACTGCTGGTGGCAATCGACCTGAAAGAACCAATTCCCAGGTGTACATCCATAAAACTTGGGAACCAAAAGGTGATGGTGGCATTTAGGTATGAGAAACTTGTCAATTTATGCTACTACTGTGGTATGATAGGGCATCTGGACAGGAGCTGTAGCAAAAGATTGAGAGACTTTGAGAATAACTGTGTGGCTGATGGTCAGTTTGGGGATTGGCTAAAAACTTCTGAGACATATGCAGGGGGAAGGAGTATGCAGTCTGACAGTTCAGGTGAGAAAGTTGACCACCCGAAAACCAACCCAGTCCAAGATTCCTTTGCCTCTGATAATATTATTTCTAATGTGGGTCAACGAGAGGTAATCAGAAGCACTGAAAGTGGGGACCAATCACCCCTTGTTTTGGGAAAAGTAGGAGGCCCGAGTGATAAGTATGGAGAGATCCAAGAATTTGTGGGGATGGCTGAGCCAACACCTAGCAATGTGGCTAATCATGTGGAGGATGAGGGCAGAAACAGAATGGAGGTGGAAGAATGTGTGCAGGCTAAGAAGTTCATTATTGATGAAGCAGTGGGTGATCTTTGTAAAGCCAATTTGAGAAAGAGATCTGGGGCTTGGTGGAAGAGGCAAATCACATCTAAAAGTAGACTGCAGAGAGTCCCTATGAAACCCAGTGGGTTAGAGCTTGCTGAAAGTCTCAAAAGAAATAGAGCTCTGGTTATCTATGATGGGGTGGACATTGATGCAGAGGCAGATAATGGCAAAAGGAAGAAGAGTAAAGGTGAGCAATCTGTGGTGGAGAAGGCCAGCCATAAATGGACCCAATGTGATCAATGAAAGCTATGGTGTGGAACTGTAGAGGGCTGGGTGGGCCCTGTACAGTTTCCCAGATCAAGGATTCTAGAAGAATCCACCACCCAAATATAATATTTTTATCTGAGACCAAGAAATCTGTGCAGTTTACTAAATCAGTGTGTAGAAAGTTGGGCTACCAAGATAGATGGCATTTAGTGAGCCCTCAGGGAACTAGAGGTGGCTTGCTGTTATTGTGGGACAGCTGTGTGGAGATTAAGCAAATTGTAGGGAATGATTTCTGTTGCCAAGTTGAGCTGAAAGGGGCATGGATGTCTGATTGGGGTTGGTTTATCTTTGTGTACATGAGTACAGACAGAAGAGAGAGGGAGGAGCAGTGGGATTTTCTTGAAAGTAGCGGAAGGAGGTGGGGCAATAGCTGGCTGATGGCAGGGGACTGGAATGATCTAGTTTCAAATGAAGAGAAAAGAGGGGGTGTGAGGAGGTCACCAAATAGCTTTATAGGATTCCAAGAGTTTATCATGAATATGGAGATGCAGGAGGTGAATCAATTGGGATCATTTTTCACCTAGGGGGAACAATAGAGCAGGTGATGGTTATGTGGAAGAGAGGTTGGATAAAATATTTGTATCCCTTGAATGGCTGGCCAGATTCCCAAACATGGAGGCTTTTAATTTTTTTAGATCAGCCTCTGATCATAATGTCATCCTCTTCAATACTGACAAGGAGATGGGAAAAAGACATAAGAGATTTCAATTTAACAAAGAGTGGGCTGAGTTGGAGGGAGTTCAAGAAATTGTTAAGGATGGTTGGCAGGTGGAGGTTGAAGGTTCTGAAATGTTCCAAGTTCACCAAAAAATCAAAAATACCAGAATGGCTCTCCTTGCCTGGCATAAGCCCATCCATAGGAACAGTGAGAAAGCCATTGCAGTTCTTTCTTCCAGACTTGAGGAATTGAGAGAAGAAGGGAAAGACAGGGATTGGGAGGAATGGGGTAACTTGAGGTCTGAGCTGGACCATGCTTATCTTGAGGAGGAGAGGTTTTGGAGAGCTAAATCCAGAGCTTTATGGCTGAAGGCTGGAGACCGGAATTCTCGTTTTTTTCATGCTTTTACATCTCAGAGGAAGAGATCCAATTCCATATCTAAGCTTATTACTGATGTGGGGGAGATCTGTGATACACAAGATGCCTTGGAGAGACACATTTCTGGATTCTATTCTAAATTATTTACCTCTGAGGGGTCAAGTGGGGATGATGAGCTGCTGCAGTATATTCCTGTTTCGTTATCTGATGCAATGAATAATGATCTGATCAAAACAGTGACAGAGGAGGAGATTAAGGCCATTGTATTCTCTATGGCTCCTGAAAAATCCCCGGGTGATGATGGTATGTCTGCTTTTTTCTTTCAAAAATTTTGGAATATTGTGAAAGATGATGTCTGTAAAGCAGTGAGTACTTTCTTTAGAACTGGGCATATGTTAAAAACCTGGAAGCACACTATTATTACCCTGATTCCTAAGTGTTTGTTTCCAGAAGCCTTAACTAATTTCAGGCATATTAGTTTGTGTGGGGTGCTGTATAAAATCATTGCCAAGTTGATTGCTGAGAGACTGAAACCCTGTTTGGAGATGTGTATTGGTCCTGAACAAACTGCTTTTGTTCCTGGGAGATCTTTGTTGGATAATGTTATTATGGCCCATGAGCTATTTCATTTCTTACATAGACATAAATCTGGGCCTAATGTGTTTATGGCTATCAAATTAGACATGGAAAAAGCTTATGACAGAGTAGAGTGAGATTGTATCAGGAAGATCATGTGTAGGATGGGGTTCCATGGTAAATTTGTCAAGTGGGTGATTAATTGTATTGCCTCTCCTACCTTTTCTTTCAATCTGAATGGCAGTGTTTGTGGATATGTTTCTTCTTCTAGAGGTATTAGGCAGGGTGACCCCTTGTCTCCATACCTCTTTATTTTGGTATCTGAAGTCTTCTCTTCCTATCTGAAATCCAAGATTAATGCTGGGCTTTTCAGGGGTGTTAAATTGAATAGAGGTGGTCCTATGCTGTCTCATCTTTTATTTGCGGATGACTCTCTTATTTTCTGTAAAGCTGATACTGGCCATGTTGAATTGCTACTAGAGATCCTCCAGAAGTACCAAATTTTCACAGGCCAGAAGGTGAACTTGAATAAATCTTCTATGTTTCTGAGCAAGAATTGTTCTGAGTCTCTGAGAAATGCTATTTCTTCCATTCTGCATGGTGTTGTGGTCAAGAGGTCATCCAGGTACCTGGGATTACCATTGGGGATTGGGGCTTCTAAAATTGAGACTTTCCAGTTTGTAGTGGATGCAGTGAGGGAGAGGATTTGTAGTTGGAAGTATTCTTATCTATCAACAGCAGGTAAAGATACTCTGGTAAAGTCTGTGCTTTGTGCTCTTCCTGTGTTTGTAATGTCTTGTTTTATCCTTCCTGTGAAGTGCTGTAAAGATATCTGCAAGGCTGTTGCCAAATTTTGGTGGATGAAAGGAGATTCCCAGAAACAGGGTGTGCACTGGCTATCTTGGGAAAAACTGACTAAGCCTAAGGAGGATGGTGGATTGGGATTTCTGGACATCCAATTGTTCAATAAGGCTTTGATCTTAAAGCAGCTGTGGAGGCTCATTGAACAACCTGAGTTATTGATGTGCAGAGTGTTGAAAAGCAGATATTTCAGTGATTGCTCTATCTTTGATGGCAAGAAATCTGGGGGAGCTTCTTGGCTTTGGAAGTCTTGGGCCACTCTTCTACCTAATTTGGAAAAACAAGTGAAGATTGTGATTAGGAATGGGCAGAGTACCAAACTTAATGATACTAACTGGGTGCCAGATATTTTTTGTAGGAAACCCCATTTGAGAGTGGAGGTGGATGGGAACTGTTTCTTGGTTAAGGATTTGGTGCAGGCAGGTGGAGCCCAATGGGACATGACTCTCATCAAAGCTCTTTTTTCTGAAGATGATGCAGAGAAGATCATGAGGATTAAAACTCTTAACCCCAGAGCTAAAGACCAATGGCAGTGTAATTCTTGGCTAAAGGGAGGTTTTCTGTCAAGAGAGCCTATTCCTATCTCCTAACTGTCAAGATGGGGCAAAGGCATGTGGCTGAATCTAGTGCCATGGCTTGTGGGAATAAGAAGGCTAGGGCTAGATGCTGGAAGATGAAGGTCATGGGTAAAGTGAAGCACTTTGTATGGCAATGCTTCTCAAATATTCTCCCAGTGAACACCAATTTGCTGACCAGAGGAGTGGAAATAGATTCTATCTGCAGAGTTTGTGGTGAGGAGGAAGAAACTCAAGAGCACTGCCTTTTTTTATGTAGGAAAGCCAGAACTGTATGGAGGCTTGCCCCGGTTACCTGGAATAGAGTGCAAGAGGAAAGGATGTCTTTTAAGCAATGGTGGTGGTGGATAAGCTCCATGGGGAATGATGACTATTGTGAGGACAGAATTCAACTCTCCACATACATCTTATGGTGGTTGTGGAGAGCTAGAAACCTTTGGGTTTTTGAGGGTAAGTGGCATGCTGAGAGCTGGATCATTAAAGCTGCTTTGATGGATTGGCAGGAATTCAAAACTATCAACAGTAATGGCTAATGGATCTGCAGATGAGTTAGAATAGGTCTTGTGTCAGTTTTTTACCTTGTCTGTTAGGTTTCTTATTTGATATTGTTGGTTTGGGCTGTGGATCTGTGGTTGGGTCTGTTAAGTTTGCTGTGCTGTGTTCCTTTTTGTAGTCTTCAGGTTCTATTTGTGATAGTTTTCTCTTGTTGTTTGGGTTGTGGTCGGTTTATTTGGTGTTGTAATGTTTAGGGAGCCTGTGTGCTGCCCTCTCATGGTTGCCGGATTCGGGGATTTCCCCTTGTTCTTTTGACCGTTTTGGTCGGTTTTATTTAATGAGATCGCTATATCGTTGGAAAAAAAAAAAAATTGAAAAATTATAACAGTCATGTAATCTAAATGTGGGCAGCAAATAAGAAAGAACTTTAGGATCGAATTTCTACCCACGAGAAACTCACCACAATGTAAAGAGTGCTTAAATCCTTTATATCATAAGCCTATAACAACAATCATTAATTTCCCAACAACAATTTGGGATAACATCATTTACCAGTATTAAAACAGAATATATGAGGGTTGTCCACCTCATCTGCCAAACCTCGAACTCATTTTCCTATTTATGTTCACATCACTACCAAACAAAAGAAAAATAAAGACATAGTGAGAGCCAACCAGAACAAAACACGAACCTTACTTTTTATGTGTGAGTCCGCGTGAGAATGAGAGCAAGAAGTTCCTTTGAGGCTAATTGTACTAGGTTTTGTACTTGCTACACATTCTTTTTTTCTCCCATCTTCGGTGCTTGTTGAATGAAAAAAAAAAAAAAAAATTGTTATGAAAATTGTTATGAATAAAATTGAATACATAATAAATATTTACAATCATGAAAAACAACTAGTAACAGGCAACTAAAGCAGCTATAGAACTGAAATAAAATGAACTATTAATCAATATTTTTTAGATTAAAAATAAGAATAATATTAACCAATATTTATTTTATCATTGATTTTTAAAATTAAATACAATATATATGTGTATAAATATGTACTTATATATGACACATGGAATCTGTTGATATGCGATTTTGTATCAACATGGGGTATTCGAGAAATTGTTTGTATATATAGAATATGTTGGATTTCTATGAATTTGGTTGGTGAATTCTATATAAAATCAGTAAAACGAAATGGAAAAAGAAGAAGAAGCTCTGTATGTGCGGTTTCTTCTTGTGAAGGAAAAAATATGAGGATTAGGAAGAGAAAAGTAATAATAGCCCCTCAGACTTATCTCTATGACGTCCATCATTGGGGTATATATATATGTTTTTGGTGGGCCCGTTATTATTACAAGCGGTGTTATTTGTGGGCCCTAAAATAAGACAATTGATATAATATATATCCACGTGTAATATTATAATAGGCGAGTCCAAAATTGGGTATTAACAGTAGGCCCCTGACTTTAGGACATGTTCTGAATAGAACTGTTCTGAAGTCACATGTATAGTTTATTTTGCTGTGATAAATAATGTATCGATGTTGGTCGGGTACTTTGGGACCCGTGGAGCCAAATTTCTGATCGTTCTTAGGCTTTGGCCTGTCGTATTGACGGTAATCATGTGTTTTGATTTGACGAGTGAAGTCGACTGCATGGATAGTCAACTATATGAAAATGCTATATGAATGGGGCCTGGTTGGCCTGGTCGGGTAATTCGGTACCCGATTTTTGTGTGTAATAGGACGCGTTGGATGGATTTGCGTCTGTAATGATGATAATAGTATGGATTGAACTGATGCGGGCACTCGGGCCCCTTGCTTTGCTATAGATCTTTATGCAAAGATGTTATCGATATGATATATTTGCCCACCGAATTGAAGAACTCGGTTAGGAACGGACTTTCTAGCCCTACCAAGCTGAAGAACTTGGTGAATATGAAGATTTTAGTCTACCGAACTGAAGAGTTCGGTAAAGGCATGGGTATCAGCCTTACCAAGCTGAATAACTTTGTGTAAGTAAAGGTTTTATCATACCGAGCTGAAGAACTCGGTGTAATGATTTTTTCTTTCGCATATTTCCCAGCCGGGAAGGTCTTATTGACTTTGCCTAACCAGTGTGGGACCAAACAGATGAAGGCATTTGGTTTATTGTATTTTTTTGATTTGGACGTCAAGATGTATGTCCGATGCGCATATGTAATGAATGTATGTGTGACGCGCGTATATGATGAATGAATGCATTATTGAGTATGTCGATGCATAATGCGCACGTGCGATAAATGATTAATGTACGATAAATAAGGATACCTCGATATTTTGTCGAGTCTGAATTCCTTTTCTGAGTCTGATGTTGAAAAAAGAAGTCACCGAACTTCGTCACGGTTCGATTATGGAACGGCCCCAACCGAGTTGTTAGAATGAGT